GAGACGATGGTGTCTGCGTGAAGCGCACGTATTCGTTCCTCTCGAGACTGTCACCCCGTCGAGTGATCTGGATGCGAGGCGAAGCACGAGCTGCGGGCACTGCAGCACTGGGCAGTCCCTCCGAGTCGGCTCGATTGTCGAGAGATGTCGAAGGACTAGAGGATGCGCTGCTGGGCTCCGGGCTGCTGTCAATCACACGGGGATTGCGGATGCGCCTCGATGCTTGTGCCTCCTGTGGTTGCTCAGCGTGTCCGTTGTCGCTTCCTGGATATTGCTGATGGACTTCTGCCAAGATGCGCGCCTTCTCCTGTGCCCAGTGGGCGACGAGTAAGTCGTTGGCGTTCTCTTCCGGCTCCCAAGTCGGTTCCCACGTCTTTCCAGTCTTGGAGTCAATCCCTTGCCATTGGATGTAGTATTTGCGTACACCACGGACCACTCGTTCGTCGAGAATGCACTCCGCTGCCCACAAAGTGTCGCTTTGGCTGCCGGCTTCGCTTTGGCTCGAATCGACGTATCGTGAACGTTTGTTTGTGTTGGTTCTCAATGAGTTGCGTTTCCTTTTCGGTCGCGCCATTACGCGCAACGTCCGTTGGAGAATGTGTCCAAGTAGATCGTCTCCATTGTGGGTAGGAAGAGGTGAGAGTAATAGTGCGCCGGGCCGTGGGCGGGTGAGTGGTGACTGGTGCGTGGTGAACGGTGATGGTGCGGGACTATCCGCGCATGACGAGCCCGCAGCGGACGCGTCTCGACGCGTTCCCGATTGCAGTGCCGCGGCATCACTGACTCAAAGCCGCCATATCGACTTGGGGGTTCTAGATACTGGTGCCACTAATACGAGCTTAACCATGAAATATCTCTTGCACTTTCTTGCGATACATTCAGAGCATGCTACGAATCACGCCAATGTCAGAGTCACTCGCGTCAAGACATGAAAACATACGGCCAAGTATACAATGAGTAGATTAGGCAAGCTATAAGATGATCAAGTCACCCAGAGAAGGGCTCTAAAGTCTTTCGTAAGAATGTACATGCTTCTTCCAAGGAATACCGGCATGTGTTGGATATCCTACAGTTTTGCGCATCGATCCTGAACGCATGTCTGCATGCGCCATTTGGTCGCAAGCGTTCACACCTCATCTCAGTATCGCCCGCCTCGTCCGTTACCCCTCCAGCCTCCCCTATTGCCGTTGCCACCGCGCTGCCCACCTCCATAACCACGTCCACCCTGGTATCCGCCACGGCTCTGACCATACTGACCATTGTTGCCAGGACCGAAGTTGTTACCATACTGGTTGCCGCCCTGATTTCCAAATTGGTTGCCGCCTCGGTTTCCACCCTGGCCTCCGTGATGGTTACCAAATTGGTTGCCACCCTGGTTACCTTGTTGCGGACCGTTCGGTGGCATGTTCATGTTGGGAGGAGGAGGTTGCCACATGCCGTTGAAGTTGGGGGGCGGGGGAGGGGGGACGAAGCCACCACGTCCTTGGAACTGCGGTGGTGGAGGGGGAGGAACACCGAATGGCGGCATTGACATCGGGAACTGGCCTTGGAACTGGCCTGACATGTGCGGTGGTGGAAACGGCGGCGCGTTGAAAGGCGGCTGATGCAGCATGGGCGGGACCTGATGCTGATGGTTGTTGGGGCTGGACTGAGTGTTCCTGTTCGCACCACTCCACTGCGATCCAGGCTGTGATCCTTCTCTGTCGTATGCCCTTGATGACGGTCGCGCCTCGACGAAACCCCTGCCCTCAGACTCTCGACGCGAAGGTCCATGTGGTGAGACCCTGCGGCGACCCATGGATCCGTCGGGTGACATTCGACGGCGTGCGTCGTCATACTGATAACCCCCGGGGCTACGGCGACTGCGACTGCGACTGCGGCTACGATTGTATCCCCTTCTTCGCTCCCTATAGGGTGGGCCCGACTCTGTCGACGAGGAAGTAGAGGGTCGACTATCGTGGCCAACGCGACGCGCGACAGACAAGACCGGGGGGTCCTCCATGTCCTCCATGCGTTCTATGTCCTCTCGCGCGATCTTGATGGTCTCCGGGACGGTGAATTTCTGTATATCTCGACAGAACTTTGGCGACCAGCCGTAGCCGTTTGCCACTGTAGCTGTCTCGCCAGTCTCCTTGTCCTGCTTGACCAGCTGGCCCATGGGATCCAACGAAAGCCTATACTTGGTTGTTTCCCCGGTCGGATTATCGCCCGTGGGCAGGTACTTGAGGTCGATGTTTTCGAAGAAGTTGTCGAGGAGAGCGCGAACGTGTGAACTGACAGGCTTCTTGTCAAACTTCCGTATCTTGATCTGAGATTCGTGGATCGGGCGGTTCGGGTGTTTGATTATGGGCTCGAGCATGTACGATGCGGGGAGGTCGTGCCATCTGGCATTTCGGTCGCCGTGGTATTCTGGAAGGACGTAGTTGCGCTTGCGACCCTGTGCTACGGACAAGGCCTCGTCTGCCTTGTGTCGACAAGCTTTCAGACCCTCTGAGCTCAAGAGCTTGTTAACAGCCCAGTAGTTGACAATGGCTTTCAGCTTCACCTCTAGCTGCGATCCCTTCTCGGTGATACACGCCGCTGCGAGTTCGATCAAGTCAGGGACAAAATCTTGACACGCGTTGCCAAGAATACTCTGCTTCGTCGTGTCGCGATGATGCAACTTGTCAGCATGGAGGGCATCGTTGACGATCAACAAGAGATCCATCCGGTTGCGCGCTGCTTTCTTCGCTAGCGCTGGAGTGCTCTGATCTACTACGACAGACTTTGAAACAGCGATGAGATACGCGCCGAGGGTGGTGATCCGAGCCTTGGAGGGAGCTACGTGCTTCACGATCCATTCTGTGCATTTCTACGAGCGGCGAATTAGTCTGCTCCCGGTGATATGTGATTGACGGTTTTATAGCTAGATACCTGGATATTGATGGGCGAGTTCTGCTGAAGAACGGCATCAACGTGGTTGAAAAGCTGCGAGCTAATTTCGACTGCAATGGGCGCTGAACGATCTTCGGCATCGGGATCCTTCATTGCCTGCTTGAACTTCACCTGCGCAATCGTTAGACCTGACTTGCGCTTGGCGTCATCATTTGGCGCCATGTTTGGCAATGTGAGGTTGCGGCTATGAGTTCGTGGTGGGGAAGGAGGTCGACATGGGTGTCGCGAGGGTGTTGATGTTTCCAAGATTGCGAACGCGATCGACGCTAAGCTAGCGCGCCTTCCGCATCGTTCACCCCGCCATCGGCCAAGGCAATCACAAATATGTCCGCCAACGACGCCATCCAAGATGAGGTCACCTCGCTCAACGCCATCTTCGACGAAGGCACCCTGTCAGCCTTAGATGAAGACCAACGACTATACAGTCTACGTCTGCCGTCGCTGCCATCGATAACTCTGCGTATAGAATTTCCGGCAGACTATCCGGATGCGCCGCCATCCGTGCTAGGCACTCAGAGTGTGGGACAAGATGTCCCCAAGGGTATGGGCAGCCAGGCTGTCGACGTAGTGAGAGAAGTTCTGGCAAGGATCTACCAGCCCGGCGAGGCATGTATCTACGATCTGCTCGAAGAGGCAAGAGAAGCTTTGGAGCAAGCGGAAGAGCAAGGAGATATTCAACTACACGATCAACATGAGGATGAGCACGTTGAAAAAGACGAGAGCTCCCATATCCAGTCCGACCCGGCCATCGACCTTGGACCGGAGCCACCTTGGATCGTAGCACCCGCGCTTACCGAGAAGAAGTCAATTTTCTTAGCTCGCGCAGCACCTGTATCGTCACCAGCACAGGCTAGACAGTACGTCGCGCATCTCCTAGCGACAGACAAGAAGGCTGCTCGCGCAACTCATAACATGACTGCCTGGCGGATCAAAGGCCCCAACGATACAAGCTACCAAGACTGCGACGATGATGGTGAGACTGCTGCAGGATCGCGCATGCTGCACTTAATGCAGCTGATGGATGTTTGGAACGTCATGGTGGTTGTCACAAGATGGTATGGTGGTATACATCTAGGTCCTGACCGCTTTCGCATCATCAACACTACGGCTAGGGAGGCATTAGTCTTGGGTGGCTTCGCAAAAGAAGGCAAAGACAGCGATTCAAAGAAGAAGGGGAAGAAGTAGAAGAGACACATTGCATGCTCGCTGTGAGACATCTATCTAGTCTTCACAAGGTCATCCGTTCACCTTCATCTTCCCGGTGCACTGGCATGCTCCCACAGCTTTCACTTAACCCACAGCTGACTTATTACATAACGCTTCCAGAATTCACTCGCATTAGATCATCTCTCATTCACTCGACCGCACAGACCGTCGCCTATTTAAGTCGCGCCTGTTTCATATTGTACACTCACCACATCACTACGCGTTTCCGTCAATCACAACCAATCAATCACTGAACCTCGTAGAACGAAATCTTCGACGCATACTATCGAGAATGAGTTATTCACGTCCTGGACAAAACGGATCGAGCTCCGGCAATCGTGCGGGTCAGCATTTCAGCACACGAGGACATCGTCTCGGCGGCGGTGGTGGTGGTGGTGGTGGTGGCCATCCGCATCAAACTCGCAGCCAAGCTACAGCGTATGTTCCCCAACGCTCTCGTCAGCCCTCCCATATTTTGTTCATCGAGGAGGAAGATGACGATGGCGATGAGTACGATGAATGTGAAACTGACATCGGACACCCCAGTTCCCACGGGTACCACGATGCTATGCACCATCTAGCCGAAACCATGGCGGATCTGGACAGCATGCTCGGTGACGGGCGACAAGGCAACAGCATGCGACATGCTTTCGGGCCAGGGTTTCCTTTCAACGACGCCAGCGATATTCCGGGGTTCGACGCCCTTCATATCGGTATGGGTGCTGCGTTCGATAGTGCATTTGAGGGAGCCTTCAGCCATCCCATCTTCTCTGGAAACGACATCGCTCATGAGCCTAGAGCTAATAGACCTGGAAGCAGTTTCGGCGCGAACTTTCCATTTGGACCTACCAGTAGCACTCATGTCCATATTGGAGGCTTTGGACGAGGCGAAGACCTGCCTTTTCATGCTCACCCCACCCCATCACGTCGACCTGGGTACGTTCCAGTCCCTACACGAGGCGGTTTCCCAGTCGAATTTGAGCCTCATCCCCTCCCAGCAGACTACCAACCCACTGAAAGCAGCGAGCAGCGTATCAACAACTTCGTCGCACGCAATACCGAGCCGCTCACTGCCGCCAACACGACTAGCACGACAAACACAGACTGCCCAGTCTGCATGGAGAATGCTACCGCGCACGCATGTGTCAAGATAAAGGGTATCCAAGGCTGCGGACACATGATCGGTAGAGACTGTCTCGAAGAATTCCTGAAACAGCGCCCGGATGACGAGAAGACATGTCCACTTTGCCGAGCTGTATGGCTTGCAGAAAATGGAGTCTGGCAGGATTCGGATCAGTGGAGCGAACATATTGCTCAGGCGAACCTAGGTCATCGTTTCGCGAGGTGGTAGAGATGACACTGCATAGCAACAAGGTAGTTCTTAGAGACGAGGAAGCGAAGGCTGATGAGATCTGTGGGCAGCGCTATTGCGCGTTGTAACCATGAAGCGGGTCTATGGGTCGAGATGAAGTCGGACTGGTTCGTTGATTAGATAGATAAATTAGCGTTCGTTCTAAGAGATGGATAAGCATGTGAAGGCTAGCAGGTGTGTGATGGGTCACAGGAGTGCAAGCCAGCAATTGTATATTATATTAATGAAATTTTGATACAGCCGAACACCGTGAAGTCTACGTGGGTGCTAGGTCTTCTACCCTTCGCATTTCACCATCATTCCGTCTGCAGATCTGTTCAAATCCCTCTTTGTATGAGGCTGTTCTATTTCGGTGGGCCGGTAGCGAGCAACTGCTTAGTTATCATCCGAAATTCGGCCTGAATCTCTGCGTCGAAGTAATTCCAGTTCGGAGGTACCTTGAAGTGACCCTTAGCCATGCGGTCACTTACTCTCGTACTAGTGATTGTGCGATATTGAGGGGGCCGGTCATCTCGGGCAAGCATGGTGAGCTGCATGGATGTCTGGTCGTTCAGTATCCTTATGAGGTACTGCATCCGATCCCTGTGATCGAATCGCCTGTCATGGCCGCCTGACATAAAGTGGGTTCGTGAATGACAGATGTATGTATGTTGTAGGGCGCAGGATGCGAGTACATCATATCTGAACTCAAGGTAAGATACTATGCTCGAGCTCCAGTTTCTACCCACGGAGAACTGAGCATCGTCGAGTAGCAAGTCTGGGGCTGTAGCAGGGGTGATATCGGTGGTATCAAGCTTGATTATCCATGAGAGATTGTCGCCAGCGGTCCGCGCGGAAGCGAACTCCGGGTGTGACTCCGACGCCTCTTCACAGGGGTTGACCATCCACTCGCCAGTCTTGACGATGAATCCTTCTTCGTAGTCGCGCTTTATCGCGGCCATCGCGGGTGAACATTCTGCGTGTGACATAGGTGTCATTAGGTATGACGTTCGCTTCAGGATGGTCGCGTTTGGGAACAGGCAATACGCCTTATTCCATGAAATAAAGCATGCTGTGGCAGAGGTCATACAGCGTTTGAGGACCCCGTCGATGGGTGAATGAACACAGTGTTGAAGAGTGATTGAAAATTGGCTACCGTCACTAGGCGATGTCTTCGTGAAAAGAGAAAACTTCCAGTAGTTAGTCACATCTGTTTGGATAACGATGCATATTAACGCAGACTTACCCTTGAAGCACCAAGCGTAACGCGTTCATGAGAGAAGTCTTTGTCTCGAGCGTACCCATCCTTTTCAAGATAGCTAATGAGAGCATCCGCCTTCTCCCCAGCTTGCGTAAAGAGCTGAAGTTCATTCTTGACCTGCACACGACGGAAGAACTTTCCGGTGAATTTGCTTCCGATTAGAGTCTCGGTTTGGGCCTGTATAGAGCGGAACTTTTGAGTGTTTTTGAAGAATGGCTGCAGGCATGTGTTGATGTTCCACTGGGTCTTCTTCATATTCGCGTAAAGATCCGACGTCTTTTTGCAGGCTAACTGAACATTGCGTATAACATCAATACCTAAATAGGATGTAATGAGTGAGTGCGTTGTGTAGCGCGACTCTCGATTGATGACAAGATCCATGAGGTCTGGCACTGGATTCGGGGGTGGGCGCGGCAGAGACATGGATTGGACACTTGGAGGCGAGATGTCTCCGAGTTCTTCCACGCGCGCTTTAGCAGGCTCGTTCGAGGGTTGGTTGAGTTGAGCCATCGTGATCGATAATAAGTGTGGAATGCGGCTGGGTAGATCGATGCAGCCTTGATAGAAGAGAAACTAATGATATAAGTACTCAAGGCGTAGAAACCGATTAGGTGAAAGCCGGGATAGATCAAAGAAGGCAGTATACCACGCGGGCCCGTCTTAGTGAAATAGACTCTGAGGTAGATTACGGTGCCTTAAGCTATCGCATCGAGTGCGTGTGAGAAGAGTGGGTTGTTCTCCGCAAGAGGGTTCTCAGCCCATTCACTGAAGTGCTCGATTCGCAACTGGCACTTGAAATCTCTTTCTCCCCTTCCATGACCAGTCTACAGCAGCGCCTAATATGATCGCCCCTAAAATCGGTCCCGCATAGTTCATGTTGAACCTGTCCACAGGGAGGATAGTGGGTAGTGGCATCCAAACAAAGGTGAAGACGATGTAGCACAAAGCTCCAGCGTTGATGTATGCGCCAGCTGCGCCCAGCTTGAATGGACCCCATGGAATTGGTAGAGGTCTCGCGCTTATCGTCCGACGCCAGAGAAGGAACAAGATGGGCAGAAAGTACGATAGGTACAAGCCCATCGCGGGAAGAGAGATGAGAGCATTGAACGCAGTGCTCGAAGCAATGTTGATAAGAGCCAAGATACAAACGCAGAAGCCGCTGAGGCACAATGCATTAACCGGTACCCTCAGCTCTGGGTGAACCCTGGCAAATGTGTGCGAGAACGGCAATCCCTCGTCCTTGGAGAACGCCCAAATGAGACGAGATACCGAGGCAAATATGTTGAAGAACGATACAAAGATTATGTAGACCAGCATGAACATGAACAGATTTGTGGCTGCTTTAGATCCCGTGGCCTGATAATAGACTTCGATAATTGGTAGAGGCGAAGCGGAAGCGCGATCCACGTCTCCAATCGTGAAGAGAACGGTGATCATGTAGAGAAGTTGCATGAGACCGTTCATTGCGACCGAGAATATGATAGAGCGCGGCACCCGGGTGTGTGCTTGCTTGACTTCGTCGGACATGTGAATGACGCTATCGAAACCTGAACTCATCAGTACAGCTGCGTCGAGCCAGAACTCTATGGAGACTTACCAGCTAGCGGGTATACAGCAGTGATCAGCCCTATACCCCAGGCCACCGTGGGGTTTCTCCAACCACTAATGTCGTGGGTCAAAGTCTGAAACACATAATCCGTGGAACTCTTTTCTGCCATTACAACCAAGGTAATGATACCAGCAAAGAAGAAGGCAACATGGCATATTGCTCCCGCTGTCTCGAGGACGTTGATGATTTTAGGAAGCCAAAGGTTTCCAATGAACGGAACTATTGTCGAAGCACACATGATGAGTGTTGTGTGCCACCGCTGAACCACGTACTCTGGGTTATTGAAGGAGGCCATAGCGGTGACGATATTCGATATTAGCGCTGCATTCGAAGTGCAGCAACAGATCCAAGCGAAGACGGTGATCCAGCCTTGCATCAAACCGAAGAAGCGATTCCAGATTGGCGCGAAGGCGGCAGACCACCGGTATTGAGCCCCAACTGTGGGATCCATGGAAGACATCTCAGCGAGCGATAAGGCTACTAGCATGGTTCCTGTCCATGCGAATATGCTACCGTAGACGATGGAGGCTGGACCGCCATTGCTTAGCGCAAACTGGAAAGTGAGCGCAGATGCTTCCCATGAACATTGCATGAGGAAGGAAAAGTTCACAGAAGACGAGGCGTTGATGTATTGCTGCAGGCCATTAGCAAGAGCGTAAGTTCGAGCTGTGTTCATACATCTAATGCTCCTCCTCCAGAATCCTGCGTGCCATTGGCTCTCCGCTCCTCGATTGCTTGTTCCACAACGTTCTTCTCGGCGCTCATTATGTCGCACCTCAGGCCGATCGGGTTCATTTTTGTCGCCTCTGTCGTCTTCGTCATCGATAATCAGGTGTTCCGTGATCCAGGAAGTTACCTTTCAAGGATGGGGCCTATGTTCCTCTTATCAGTACCAGCAGCCTTGCAAGATTAGCAACCTAAATCTCGAGCTGCATACATGACCGATGAAAGTACGTTGTACAACGTGAAAGCACGCATGTTTATTCGGCCGTCTTGTGTGGCAGGCCTACCCGTGGACGAGTGGCATCCAGCACTAGCAGCATGCGTGTCATCATGCACCGCGAGCTATCCAGTAGAAGCTGTTGAAGTGCTTAACTGGCCATTCTGGGGTTGCACTAGGGTATGCCACCGCGCATTGAGAATATGTCTGTTCAGTATCTCATTTCGTGATAGGTACTACCCCCCTCACGGCTACTGGCCCGGGCCTGCTGGGGTAACAAGCAGCTATGAACGTCCACCGTGAAGCTGTAGTTTTGTGGACGAGATCAGAAGATGGAGCTCAACACTCCAATGAAGATGCAGCGCTTCAAGAAGAGCGGATCTTCTTGCATGATGGCGGCTGTAGTGGAAACCCGATAGCGACAGCGAATGACGTCATAGCTAGACTTAGTCGGCTCGATGATGGAAGTTGTCAAAGCGAGATTCTCAAGGGCCTATACGGTATGCCATCCTGTGCGATACGAGATATCGCCAGTGCGAGCAAGGAAGAAGACGAAGGTGGTGCAGATGGTGCAAGTTACAATGTGATTGAGCCGCCCCTTCTTTGAGCGCCTGAGCTAGCGTTTTAGCGTGACTGGCCCCCGAAGCCTTCAGCCTTCGTAGTTGCAGCCCACACACTCCGCCATCCACAATATCATCAAACGACGCGCATCCGCCATGCATCAAACCGCCGAGGCACCACGGCTGACTACCCTACTGTCTCGAACTTGATCGAGCTCGGAAGCCCCTCCAGATCCTGGCATTTCGTGCAGTTGACTCTCCGCATTCGCCAATTGCGCAGTCTCGCCGCCTTCCTTCTCATATCGATAAATCTCTTTTGATGGCTGTTCTTCAGGTGCAACATAGGGCGTAGGGGCATCCCGCGCCTTTTTGCGCCAGCGCAGCGCCTTAGCGATGAATATGCCTAATCCGATCAAGGCGATGGCTCCAATTGAAGCCCCAACACCGATACCAGCTTTCGCACCTGTAGAGAGCTCACTGTCACCGGCGGCCAGAGGCGTACTAGACGGAGGAGACGATACCATGGAGGAAGACACCGAAGATAGGATCGAAGAAGAGACTGATGAAGACGTCGCAGTAGGTATAGGGCCGCCGAACCGCGCTGCTATTGTGTGTCGCGGAATCGTGCTTCCATCAGCGCAGCATCGATTCGTATCTCCGCAACACCAGGTTAACGAATCAGTGGAACCGGTACAAGGTGTCACTTTGACATCTCTGCTTCTTTGTAGAGAATCCTAAACGCCGTCAGTGTCGGTAGCCTCTAAAGCCGTTTTTCAACTGTACCTCGTTCGAGCAGAGCTCCTGGCATCCTCCTTCGTCCCAATTGCTTTTTGTACACGACTCTCGCCAAATGACCTTTTCAGCCTTATTCTCGCACAGTCCGTTTGGTAGTAGATTATCCCAACCAGCACAGCAGATGTTGCTAAGGGGATCCGAGGTGTCATTGATTTGCGGCGAGTACACACTTTCTCTGACTTGTGTGCCGTTGCGCCAGTAGCAGGCTGACATCGCAGGCTGCAAGCTAGCGAGCCGCAATAGGAAAATGAAGCAGAAGTTTATACGCGACATGACGGAATGATGGACTAACTGAAGAGCTGAACAATCGCGGAGACGCGACTTGGGCTGGCTTTAGTATTCAGCAACACATCCCTTTCGCGCACTCGGCTTACGACCGCTCACGAGGCGCTTGGGGCCAACACAACACCCATTAGTCGCAACTATAATCGCGCGATGAAGCCCATTGGAAACAGAACTTGGGAAATAAGCGAGGTACACCATTCCGCTCAGCCTTGTGGTACCCAAAGTTGACACCGGTTGGTTAATATGGTAGCAGTAATCTCGATCACACGTAAGCCTTTGCCCCAACGAATTTGTTCGTCTTCTCTTGGCGCGTATGACCTTCTAGGGGTAGCTGATGCACGACTTACATTGCACGTGACGCGTTGCGCGGCCTGTGTGCCTATTCGTGTCATGCAATCTCAGGTTCCACTTCAGCCATCGACCCGGCTTTGACATCAACCTTATTTCAGTATCGTAAACATAGTTGCTCGGATCACAAACCATGTCGGTTGCTCGAAAGTCCCTAAGGATGAGGATTCATATGTACTCGAGGTTGTTAATATATACAATGAAGTTCCGACTACACGCCGTCCAAATTCGTCCGTTAGCACCGCGAGATGCTCCTAATGAGGAAACAGCGAAGGACCTATGTGCAGATCTTCCTCGCCCCGTTTCCGGTGAGGCTCCATTTAGTCTTATTGACAGTGCACGGGTTCTCCGTCACACTGGTTCCATCAACCTTCAAGGCGATGGCAATATCCCTGCTGTTCGCAAACTCGGTCCTGGCCGCGAGACGAACCTCACCACCACCACTAACAGTACCAGCCTTGATGTTGACATTGTAGCAGTTCTCGAGCAAAATGGCGTTGTTACCCGTGTTGGCGACATCGATCGTACCGATCTCCGCGCCTCCAGAGGCAGATACACAGAAGATGCCGCGACCGCCGCCACGAGCCTTGACGCGGTTGACGTAGATGTTGGTGCCATATCCGCCGTTGACCTTTCCGGCTTCGTTGGCGAAACGGAGAGCCGCGTAGCCAGTGCCAGCGCCGCAGTTGTCGCAGTCTACGGTGCCGACCTTCGCGTTGGTGACCTTCTGGAGGAGAAGACCGCATTCTCCGACGTTCTTGCCGACTACCGAGCCGATGTCGAGCTTGTCGATGTTCCTGAAGATATGAAGTCAGCGTATGTCTTGCATGCAGTTTGTGCAGTCATATTCTTACCATGTCTCAACGCAGTGCGACGTGCCGCCGTTGCAGGTGATGGTACCCATCTTGACGTTTGTGTTGGCCGCTCGGTCGCGGTCGAAACGGATACCCATTCCTTCTTTAAGGTTGAAGTT